CCTCCTCCTCCTCCTCCTCCTCCTCCTCCTCCTCTTTCTCCTATCCCCCAAAACACACATTCAGATAAAAAAATACTGATTCTGATATGGGGAGAGTGGAGGGGGGGGGGGTTTGCAGGAAAAAAGGCCTGATATTTGTTATGGTTTGTAAAGTCGTGTGGCAGTGGGAACATATTCACTTGCATATGCAGTGTAGATACTGTAATTCTTTCCACTTGCCCTCTCAGTGAGAACTTTACTGCACCACTGTATATTACTGATAATATTCCCCATATATCCTATGTACAATATCCTTATATCCTATGTACAAGTACACATGATTTAGTACTGAAGTACTATCTTGTAAAAGTGCAGTGCCAAGGTAGAGCAGAAAGTTGTCAAGAACTTTCTTGACAAATTCTTGTTGTCAAGATCAACAAAATTGCATTCCCCTCTCTCCTATCTTAGGCAGTGGAACATTGTTTATCACATTGGCACTACAAGGGGTCTTCATTTTGTGACCATAATGCTTTATAGATCTACAAAAGTAATAAATATGAGGATTAATTGTAAAGTTACTTTTTCATCACTGTTATAACTATGGATGGTCATTAAATGAGACAGTCACTAAATAAGGACTAGTTGTAATTAAATCTAACCAGCCTTGCAGGTTCATGATGTTATGTTAGGTGTGTCACTGCTAAGTGGTTTTAGTAACCTGATCAATACCCACAATAGCTGTTATATGCAATCCATAACACTGTCCTTTTTACAAGATACTAAAAGTAATCCTGAGCAATTTTTTGAAATTCTTTTCATCACTTTCATCACTCAAGTGATGAATAAATATGAAATAATATTTTATTTCCTATCTTAAAAATCAGTTCTACCTGATGTCAAAAACCAAAATGTATTCTATTTTCAGTGTATTCTTTGACATAAATTCTTCCAATATACTACAAGTAAGATATACTTTAGATCTTAAGAATATAGTGTACAGTGTAAATGATATATCATTTCCAGTTATTCCATTTTTACTGTTGAACACAAATGAGCAAGCGCTAATGAATTAGCCATTCCAGCAATAATAATTTCGAGACAAAAAGTTGGATCCTCATTTAGCTACAAAGCATAATACTGCCACCACCATGCTTCACTGTGGATATGGTGTGCTTTTGGTGATAAGCAGTTTTGTTTTTGCATCAAACATACCTTTGGAATTGTGGCCAAAACATTCAAACTTGGTCTCATCAGGCCATTAACACATTTTCCACATGCTTTTGTCAGACTTGATATAGGTTTTTGCAAAACGTTACAATTTTTCTTTGTAAAACTTGCAACTTGCCACTTAGGCTATACCCCAGGTATAGGAAGAATATAGGAGATTGTTGTCACATGTAGTACACAAAGAGTACTTGCCAGAAATTCCTGCAGCTCTTTTAATGTTGCTGTAGGCCAGGGATTGGTTGCTGCTGGTTTTACTATCAGTTCACAAACTGCACACAACGCGTGCTGCAAGTGCGTGGACTATGCAATGTAAACTGTTCTTCATGCATACACAATTTACAATGAACTGTGCATGTGCAACCACTAAAAAGCAAAATGGCGGCGGCCCAACAGCAGCAAGGGAACCAGTTCAGGAGCGTGGCAGGCCTGGGTCGCTGCCGGTTCTGTGATTAGGGCCTGAATTCCACTACCGGTTCAGCTGAACCAGGCCAAACCGGAAGCAACCCACCTCTGCTGTAGGCCTTTTGGATCAGTTTTCTTGTTGTTTTTTCATCAGTTTTGGAGGAACATCCAATTCTTGTTAATGTCACTGTTGTGTCATATTTTCTCCACTTGATGATTATCTCCACTATGTATCCAATTATATAAAATATATTTATTATGTAAAATATAATAAATATAATAATTAATATGTCATAAGATCCATAACTTTGTATTGCTCTTTTTATGCAAAATTATATCTTATCTATGTAAAAGAAGTCCTGCTGATTCCTTGACTGACTTAAGAATAGATTTTAAAATTTGGGTGAATTTATTAGAACAATGGAAGGATAGGTGTAAAATGAAGGAAATCACAATGAAGTATTTGAGTTGTCCTAGTACTTCTTGCTAATATTTATGAATGTTATTTTTGATGGAAGAGTGAAGTTTTTGTTCTAAAATATTTTTCTGATGTTGTTGCAGGCTTATCTTTGTTAGGGTCTTTTACTGAGGATCAACACAGCTGCTAAGTTCATATATAAGCTCACATAAATTTCCCAATTGAAACTGATGACCAAAATGGTGAAAAACCTTTTTGGAAAGGTAGAAGGGGAGAGCTCATGCTCAAACTCTCCAACTGTATCTGTCTTCCAATATTTCCATATAGGAAGTGTTCTGGCAATGTGGTGAGGCCATTTGAAAGGTCGTGTTTCAGCCTGTCTTTCCAGTTCTTGAGGATGGGTTAAAGGTGTGTGTGTTTATGGGGGAGGGGGGGGGGCTTTTCTAAAATCCTCATATATTTTATCAAATTTTAAACTTTACATATGATACTTTATGTTTTAAGCATTAGAGCAATATATGTGCTAGAGGTTACAGTTCTATTTCTTCAGCTGGCTGCAGTTTGAATGAACAAAGTTTTATATCATCTATGTATTTAATCTGCAAGTACTTGCTTGTTAAATTAAAATACTAGTACTTCACTGAATATTCTTAGTTTGAGAATATAATAGATATTTGAAAGATGTTTTAATGCCAGTATTGGCATAATAGCAAAATAAATAAGAACATTAACAATGTTTTTGAAACAGTTTAAACGTATATGTATTCATCCAAGAAAGCCATCCTCTCCCCAGTCTAGATACTAGTTCATCTTTTATTATACTGTCAAAATCAAAAGTATATCATCTGAAAACAATAAACTTGTGTGATTTTGAATCACACCCAAATTTATTCTTTTTGGCGCAGTAAAAAAAAATCTAGTACATCACTGGATAAGTTCTTAAAATATTTATTTCTTCAGTGTTACTTTTTACTAAAAAGATGACTGTTTACCAAAAAGATTTAAAATGAAAACCAAAAGTGTATAACTTAGTAAGCCACATCATAACCTTTGGGTGATATGCAATTAAGTTCCCCACTACTGGAATGGCAAGACAATGCTCACTGCAGCTCTATTTTCAAAATCTCTAAAGTATTGAGGAGAAGAAGAGGGAAATGGTGTATCCTATACACATGGTGTATCCTATACACAACCTTCACTAGATGTTGGATTTTCTCCCTTTCTTAAAAGATATTATGAGATAGTGACATGCAGAAACATTTACGTAACATGGTACATGCTATTCCAATGGTAGAGTAGGCAATATAAAAATTGGTTCTTCTTGTCCACACATATAAATCTCTGAAAGTTCCAGATGAACTTACACACCATTTTCACAGTCCAAGTTGCTGTTGTAAAATTCACGGGATACAGAGTTGATGGACTGTAACCGAAAACTTCATATTTCTGTGCAGTTTTCTCTAAACCTGAATTGCTAAGCTGTTTGCTAATATTGCAGCATTGAAACATTTGTGTTCTAATTCCAGAAACTGTTAGTAGGAAAAAGTTTGGAACTGATGAAAATATGAATAAGAAGAAAAACAAAAATGGCAACATTTTGCCAAAGTAAAATAATCAAACTTAAAAAAATACATTGGTTCCTTATTATTTATATTTTGTGAATGTAGCACATCAGCTATATTATCAGTTCCAGTGTATATACAAAATAGATCTGAAAATGTTCTGTTATTGAATCTATACATTAGAAATGTTCTATTGATTTAATTCTAAAGAAAAAATCTTGTAACTTCACAGACACAAAATGATATAGCATGCCATCACAATAGAAAACACTAGAAAATTAAATAACATACAGATATATATGTGTGTGTGTGTGTGTGTGTGTGTGCATATTGTGCAAATATATCTTACATTAGTCTTCTTTAAATAATTTTGATAATATGAATGTATTTTCCTCTCTGTTAAAAAAACAAAATTATTTTCTAAATTATCTTTGGAATACTGTTTTTTTTATATAAAACTTTGAGCTAGAATTACCAGATCATCTCTTGGTTGGCATCATGGATTTTTTTTTCTTTTTAAAGGTGCATAGTAGCAAGAAGCTTAGAAAGAACTAATTTCAACCATTCTCATAGAATTTTTCTATCCATAGACCTGCTGCCTTTCAAAATCTCTATAATCTAGCCATCTCCTGGAAATTTGAAAATGGTGAACAAGTACACAAAGCACATGAGAATTAAACTGGCCATACAATAAAACCTTGACTTGATATCATGCAGAATGAAAGTATTCTCAAATCTGAATGTTCATAATTTGGATCAATTTTCATTACTGAGGTACATATATTGTATAAAATTTAGACATAATGAACAAACCCTCTATTGGCTAAATCCTTGATTTAATCAATTTTAGTTTCATAAATGGAGATTGGATTGGATTGAATTGGTTCAGACTTCACTGGCTGAAGTCTGCCCAATAAAGGATTTACTGCAGTTCAGGGGTGGATTCCAGCAGTCGCTACTGCCGGTTCACTTGTGGGCACTTTGCACACGCTTGATGCATGGTGTGTGCGCATGCGCAGTGCAAAAAAAATTGCTCTGCACATGGGCAGAAGCTAAAAACAAGATGGCGGCGCTTATGGCACTGCCCGGAGAACTGGTTCAGGGGCGTGGTAGGCCTGGGTCGCTGCCGGTTCCAGTGACACAGGCCACCAAACCACTATCAGTTTGGCTGAACCGGTCCGAACCGGTAGGAACCCACCACTTCTGCAGTTTAATCAGAAAGAATCTCCACAGATATTATATCCTAATTTTGAATAGATTATTTAGTAATCCCATATTTTAAAAAACCCTGAAAATGTAAGCAGTTGTTCAATTTCAATTAACATATAGCAATATGTAAGAATGTTCTGAGGACATAAAAGGAAGTAAAAGTGATCAAGAAAATGCAAAATTAAAATATTCCATTGTGAACAAAATATATTAACACAGTAAAAGCGTCTGAAACAATTCAACTGGTCAGTATTAAACCAACAAAATTAAAACCTGTCTTACTTAATGGGCAGTGTAAATGGCAATGATTAAAATAAGGTATATAACTGGTTTTGCAAACAATAGGACAGAAATTTGATGATTTAAATAAAGATTTTGTAATCTTACAGAACTATATTTCTCAAAGCATACTGCTTCAAAAAGCTGCCTTTCTCATTTGAAAAATTTATTTTAAAAGGCATTTTGTGTACACCATTACATGTGTGTATAAATGTTTATGCACAATGAGTATAATACATATTTTTTCACAATATATGTACACATAGGATTTATATATATATATATATGTATATGTATAAGTATGTATATATTTTATATAGTGTAAAAGGTCTTCTGTACATATACAAAATAACAGGCAAAATAGTATTTGCTTGTTACAGTCTTTTTGTAAAAAATAATTGAAGTAAAAGTCCATTTAGTTGATATAGTATAGCCAGTAGATTAAGTTGAAAAGAGAAAATGTGAAAGGAAACACCATCCTTGACCATCTGTCAATTGCATTCACATCTGTTAGATCAGGAATTTTTATTTTTAGTTGAGAAGATCTTCTCCGCAAATGACTCTTCTTAGTATGAGCGCCAGTTCTGTCTAATGTACGTCTCCCAAGAGTTTCTCGGTGGGAACTCTGCTTTCTGTACTGGATTCCTGAGTTATCAAAGGATACTGCTGAATTATGTGGATCAGTGACACTTGTTGTGACTTCATTGCTTGCAACTTCATTGTGAATTTCAAGGGATGTTAACAATATGTTCCCATGCATGTCCACCTAGTTAGAAGCAAATCGATAGTTAATTAATAATTAATTTAATAAATGAAAAGTAATATATCAAATTCAGAAATTATTTATGTTCATATACATACACACAGAAATAAAGTGGACTTTTTAAAAAACATAAAATAAAACAAATTGAAACAAATGCAATATTTTTCCACCTTATGTCAGAAACCATACCTCTTCCTTTTTTGCTCTCCTTCATGCCATTAAACATGCTATGGTACCTGATTACCAAAGATCTCAGTCATTATTGCATTATTATCTTTGTTGCTTTAATTTTACATTTGCATATTAGGGGAGGGTATGAATTCATGGCTTTTATTGCTCAGTAGCACTGTTTAAAGCAAACTGAATTACTTGAGTTTACTTAAGTTCACAAAAGTACAATTGGTTTCACTAACATACTATATTTCACAGAAATTATTACTTGTGCAGCTATATTAGTCTGAAAATAGAGAAAACAGAGAATGAAATCTGGAGGATGGGGTTGTTTCTTATGTTAACATTTTTGTGAAATGATATGGTTATGAAGACTATGATTGAATTGTATTTTTGATTTATATTTTTCTAGTTTATAAATGAATTAAAGAGTTTCTTTCTCACATTTAGATATCAAGACACTGACGTCACATATTTTAAAAACTTTAAACACCTACCTATACTTTAAAACAAGGGTGTCAAACTTGATTTCATTGAGGGCTGGATCAGCACTGTGGTGGTCTTCTGGGGACTGGAGGGGGGGAGCGGTATGGTTGGGGTGGTTACAGCTGACTGGGCGTGGCCTGGAGCCTTGAGTTTGACACCCTTGATCTATAACAAGATGCGATCCACATCCAAAGTGCTATGACTACCTTGCAAAAAAATGACAATTTTTTAAAGCTTTAGTGATCAATTTGGTAGCTTCCTAGAGATCTTTGTGTGGCACAGGTGTAGGTCACAAAGGTGGAGAGGCAGGTGCCCTCTGATAGGAGGAGAAGGGAGGCCTTTATCCTGCAGGCTAAAGGGTAGGTTACTGTCAGTTTATCTATTATCAGAGGGAAGATGCCTTCCTAGAGATAAGCTGCCCTTCAGTGGGGCTCCTGCATTCTGAGGAAGCTTCCTTCCTTTTATAACCCCTTTTAGAGGGGTGAGTGAGAGTGAAAGTTTTGGTTAGATTTAAGGTGGAGGTGAGGGTGAGAGGGACAGGCTGAAGGGGTCAGAATCAGGAGGGGGCAGGGAGGGGGAGGGGAGAAAGAGATAAAAAGTGGAGGGGAGGGGAAGAAAGGGAAAAGGAATGTGGGGAAGGGGAAAGAAAAGGGCAAAGAGGTTTTTTTTAAAACACTTTTCTGGAAAAGATTTAGAAACTGCTCTTCCTTAAATTTGCCTCTTCTATTTCAGAAGCTTGAATGTGAATGGCTGATTTCCAAGCAGGCATGAACTTGCTGCACCACACAAGTCATCCCCTTTGCGGCTTCCAGGTGGCTCCCTCTCGGCCTCCAACTCCCATGGACGCTGTGGGAAAAACCCAGCAGTTGGGGGGGGGGCTGGAGCCTAGGGTGAAGTGAGCAAAGTAGCCCTTGGGCAGTCCTGCTGTCCTGCTTTCTCCTCTGCTACCCCTCTGGAGCCTGGGACAGAGGCAGTCTCAGGGCTACCCAGCAGCCGCAGTGGGCCCCACCTCACCCTCTCCCTGAGTGGGGGAATGCCACCACTGCCACCACTGCCAGGTCGAGAACAGGCGAGTGACGGCGAGAATCACGGGACAGTGACCCGAGAGAGGGGCTGGCCACCCAGGTGGACTGCTGGCATGGTTTGGGCAGTGAGGAGTGGCAGCTGTGGGTCTCCCTCCTCCTGGGGGGAATGGGCTCCTGTCAGTGGTGGCTGCTGCGTCCCCCTGATCCACGAGGAAGAGGAAGAGGCAATGGGGGCTCAGGAGTGAGTGATGGATGAGGCAACACTGGCCCGCTGCTACCTATCTGCATGTGTGCACACCAGAATGGGATGGGATGGGATGGGCCCGTGTGTGCATGCGCATGCTGCCTCCTGCGCACATGTGGCACATAGCTTGGGCTGGGCCAAAGTGAGAGGGGCTGGGCCCTTACAATTTCCAGGACTACTGTGCGGGCCAGATCCAACCATGTCACAGGCCAGATGCAGCCTGTGGGCCTTGAGTTTGACACCCCTGTTTTAAAATCTTTGAAAGAGATCTGTTTTTTTAATGTTCCTATCACACCTCATCACCACATCTATAGTAAGACTAACCTCATTCCTATGATTAGATTAAATGTATTTCTCCAATTCTTTTCAGGAGAAAACCATGCAAGTGTGAATTGTACTTTCACTAATGGGCAAATCTTATTCAACCTCATTAACAAATCCAAATCGTACTGTCTTTATGGTCCTAACACAGATTGATTTCCTTGGTGCTGCTTAATGAACACATAAAGTTTTTTTAGTTTAAATGTTTTTAATACAGGACCAATTAGGAAAGCAACTGGTTATACTTTAAACTTCATTTCACTTTCTCATTAAACAGCTCATAATATTGAGAAAAAACAACTACCAGCCTCTCTTTTTTTACCCAAGTGAGGTAACTTGGGTGTAGCTGAGACTTGAGATATGTTGGTTTTCCTTCAAGAAAGTAACTGATCCATATCCAAAAATACACTAGTTTAACTGACAGGTCATAGGAGCAGAGAATCTCCATTCCCCCAACCTCACATTTGGATTAATCATAGAATCATAGGATTGAAAGGGGGCCTTGAAGGTCTTCTAGGACAGCCCTCTGAATGGAAAAGCAAATCCCTTGTCAATTTCCCACCAATTAGAATGGGGAGACAGACATATGACAGACAATGATATGGAATTAATTAAGATTCCAGAAATATTATAAATATAATAAATTTAGCATCTGATTTATCAAATCAGTAAGTATTGCAATGGTTGTTGTCATTGTCAGAACCCAGAAATATCCACTATACCAAGATGCTTATGAATAGGCAAAATGGTATCACACAAGAAATAAAAAGAAAAAAATGTATAGCTTTACAAAACTCTTTCACACTAAAAGCAGGGGAAAGCCCACGACTCATACATTTTGAGAACAACTAGCAAGAAAACTATTTTCCTAGATATTTTGTACAATATAAGATTAGTTCTTTCTAACAAAGTCTGTTTTCTGAACACAGAACTGGCACTTCTCCCAAAAAATGCAAAGCCTGATCCCTTATACAGATCCCATATAATGCTGATTATCAACTGCTCTCTTATGCTTGTTTGTGCTTCGCTGCCATGAACTGTGGGAAGGGGAAAATGAAGGAGGAAATGCTTAGGGAAACTAAAAAGTGTTGTATCTCCTTAAAATGCTACCTCGAGATCACTCAGCTGAAAGAAGGAGGGAGCCACATACCAAACTACTAAGCTTGGCTGACCATTATGAAAACCTCTTGCCTGAACCTGATTGGTTACAAAGGAGAGGACAATGAGAGACAGCTAGGGGATGGGTTTTGGCATGCGGTTCTCAGTTCTGACTTTGCATTACTGCAATACACTTATGCAACAACTCATTACCGAGGAAGTATGATAAATCAAACTCTGCCAAAATTGCATCATAAGACGGAAAACACTACTTAAAACAGGAACATTTAAATACAACTTTAAATTTTATCTCGTATGTTTTTGGATGTCATAAAGGTAACATTGCTCACTGATTTATCAACTTGTCAGCTGCTTCAATCACTGAAGTAACATACATATAATTGTAACAATTAAAATATAATTATTATTTCCATTTTGTTATTTGCAATAATAATGACAAAATGGTTATTATTATTATTATACAATTGTATCACAGCGGCCAGTTGTTTCGCCGGATTTGGCATTGGTTACTAGTCGGGC